CTCCACCCACACACGAAACGATATAATTGATGAAGCTCAAGTGTGTACATAACATTTTAAATTTGAATTAATTACTATTTTCTTGAACTTAATCTTTAAATTTTGACTTAATTCAGAGTCATGGCCTTATTTTGTGTTAATTCATATTAACCTAGTCCCCCACTGTTTCATTCTTCAATTATTTAGTTGATGGAGTTAAATTTTTATTAGTCGATAAAACTAATAAAAATAAAGCCCCTAATGCATACAAATACTTCCAAGTGGGTGGCATACATTTAGTACTATAGTTTTATATGAAATCTCTTGCTAAATGACAAAAATTAAAACATGTTTCGAATGATGGTTCTAAAATCTTGACTTGACAATTAAGCAAAGCCTTTACTTCTAAAATTTCTAATTAATAGGTTTCTCATAATCTTTTTAGCTTTACAACCTACCTTGTGCTTTTATTAAGTGCTACTTGTTCCTCGTACAATAACTCTGTAGGAAATCTCTTCACTAATTTTCCGTTGTTCTGGATCATTCTAGAAAAAATAAGTCAACGAAAAACTATTTTCTCCTAGTCATAGGAAAACTTAAAATGATTTTTTATAGGACAAATTAAACTTCCGATTCTTCGATAGACAAAATATTTCTCCCGGACATTGACAAACCTTAATAATCCATATCGTTTTTTAAGTTCTATTAATTCCTTGCAATCACTACCTATCAGTTCATCATTTACCACCGCTCTCAACACCTCGCCACCATTCCTGGTCAAACGACGACTTCAATAATTTACATTTTTTATTTTTTTGCATTCTTTCTTCAAATATTATACAATAAAATTCTTGTAAATTATGTGAAAATTTCTATCATATTAATATTTTAACAACTTTTCAATATCTACAATACCAAATACACGAAAAATAAGTCTTCTTGAAAAAACTTATTTTTTCAATGAAAACTATTCTTCAATTGAATCGAATAATTTAATCGTAAGTATCTTCCTGCAATGTTTATTTTAAAACAACGAAATGTAGCATCAAGTTTGCCATTATTATCCAAAAAAAGGTTAAAATAAAATAATCATATATGAAAAATGAGATAGATACATTTTTTATTAATAACTTTACGCTGTTAGAACCGCCGCGAGCACAGAAATATATTTAAGGATGAATAATTTTTTATAACTTCCGACCAATAGATACAACATGAAACATTAGACCGGTTGACAGACCACGACACGTTTAACAACCGATGCATAAACAGTCAAGTGGATCCGTGTTAACCCACTATACAAAACTCGTATAACGCTTAATATCATCAATACGTTCAGGACTGTGTTGACCTAGTATACGACACCACTCATAACCTGCTTAAGTATTTTTAAGCTCTTAACCGATTAAAATTTTGCCAAAATTCAAAAAAAATAAATTTAATAAATAATTCTTCGACAGCGTAAACATACATAAATTCTTTTCAAAGATTTAATGGTAAAATAACACAATTAATGCAGACATAAAATTTAAATACGGTTTTCAGTCGGAAATTTTACCTCTGACACTATTAACTCTTCACTGCCTTAACATCTAATCGGTCACTCGACTATACGCCGCAATGTCAACCACGACACAGACACGTGTTATATTTGGTGTCATAAATGGGTCTCATATGACTCACGAACTCGTTAACCTAACCCTAACCCATTTTATTTCCCTTTAGGTGAATCATCATTTGCTGTGTCGTTGACCAGTTTGAGCACCCCTGTATGACACCTCATAAAAAAAAATCACACACAGCTATTATATATTTTTCATATAGGTGATACATAATTTAAGAATTTTAACTAATATGATGAAATAAAAATTATGTTTTTTTATTTTAATGTTTATGATAATATTATAAAATGTATTATCTTATTCATTTGAAATTATTACTGTATTATACTTATTTTAGTGTAGTGATCCTAAAGCATGTACGATCTCCTTACTTTTTTAAAAAATTATGTATCGCGTACGTCCCATATCAAGTGATGAATTCGTTTTTAATTAAGTTTTGTATCTTTTTTTTATTCAATAATAAGTAAAAAAAATAAGAAGGGAAACTATAATTTTTTGACACAACTTTTGTGTTTACTTATGCTTTTTTTTTGATGAATAAAGAAAGATAATATTTTGGCTATATTAAATATCTATTGTTTTATAGTTTTTTAGTTTCCCTTTCTAGATTTTGGAACAGGAAAATTATTGAGAATTCTTTTCCCTTACTATTTCCTTCTATTTCCAAATAAAATAGTTTTTGCGTTATTTAATCGAATCTAGTTTTTTCCTTCCTAATATGATATTATATTGAAATATAATTATCTTTTTTTTCTTAAATTCGCACGATGCGTAGAGGTAATAGTAAAAGAATAAAATAGGTCTTTATACAATTATTCAATAAACAGTAAAATTATATAATAATAATTAATTGTATCTTATTAGAATAATGCTTGAGAAGTTGCGATGAATAATAGGTTTCTTAAGTATCGATGCCACAAACTTTTCAACTAAGGCTATGGCAATGCATGGTATTGACCTACATAAAAATACATACACACTTTCAATGTTATTTTTCAGTAGTGATAATAATTCTTTGACAATTTATAACTATTGAATAAGAAATTTAATTTTTTTTTATTTTTAAATGTTAACTTTAATATAAATGATTGGTTTATAGTTCAATTTTGAAATATTAAATGTTATTACTGATGTATGACTATGTCTTAAACCGTAGTGATGTATACTATCTTTTTTATAAATTCATCGTATACCGTTTCGTGCAACAAAATAAGCTCTCTATATATGAGACTACTCTATACATTCAAGCTAATCAATTCCAAGATTCTTTGTTATCTATCAAATAAAAAAATGAAGCGTTTTCTAATTTATTTTCGCTATCATTGAACCAAGAAAATAATTTTTTTTTGTATTTGAATATTATTATTAATATGATTATTTCTTTAGTTGAAATATTAATGTATTACTTTATTTAGTGTCATTTGATCGATAAGCATGGTGGATGGTCCTACAGTTTTTAAAAAAGATTTGTGATCTCTGTACGTTCTTAGTATCTCGTGTCCTGTGTTTGTCGACAACCTAAACTCCTGATGTTTGGGACTCCTACTACCCTAAGACTAATCAACTCAAAGATTTTTTTATTCACAATAAAAACTGAAGTTTTTTTTAATTTGCTTTTGTGTCTTTGAAATAAGACATTAGCGCTTTTTTTATTTTAATATGTTTATTATAATGATTTGTTTATTTTATTTGGAAATATTAATGTAATACTATTTTAGTGTATGTGGCTTTTAAGCTGAGTGATTATGCTTACTTTTTCTAACGAAAATAATCCCGTACCTCTCTGTACGTTCTATACTTCGTGTCCCTTCTCCATGCAACTTTTCAGTTCCTGAGCTATATGAGACATACTTTAAACACAAACTATTCAAATCCAAGGTTTTTTTTTAATTATCCCTAATAAGAGAAAGTGAATATCTTTTAAATATTTTCTGTGTCATTGAAGTAAAGAATTAATTTTTTTTGTTATGTTTGGTGTTTTATTTTTATTAATACAATTATTTGTTTATCTTATTTGAAATATTCAATTATTACCTTATTTAGTTACGCGTTCGTAAACGTGTGGATTGTCTTAGCCTTTAAAAAATTATGATCCGTCTTCAATCTTGTATTTTTAAAAATGGCTATATATTGTTTTATTTACACCTTTTTAAGTGTGTTGGATTACTGTATTATATTGTTTTATAAGAAAAAATTTATATTTATATTAATTAAATGCTAGAGATAATCTTTTCTTATAGATTAATTTATTCTTGATAGCGGGATTATCTGAAAAATATAAAACAATTGATGCTTTTACAATTTTTATAAATTGCTATAATGGTGTGAATTCCAACATCTACATTCTATAATTCAAATAATGTCATGACACTGTGCCTACTTATGACTTGGCTTCCAATCTATAAAGCAAATTTAACCTACTTTTAATATAATTATATAGTATAGATGATAGATTTCATAATATTTGATAAAGATTTGAGAATTAATCTAATTGATTCGAATAATGAAATAATATTATTTTTTATGTTTAGTATTTATTATAAATTTTTATTTATTTAATTATGTATATCATGTTAGCGTTTTCACTACTTCGTCGTTCGCCGTTGCTATGCTCCATACATCAAGGTAATTCATTAACGTGAAAAGTTTGAGAATATTGTTTGTTTACTTTTAATAGGTTAGTGTTATCATGTTATTTAATTTTTGAATCAATTATATTAAAAACAAAAATTGATAGTATTTGTTTTCTTTATTTGTTATAAATGCATTGTTTATTTACTATTATATACTCCCATCGTTCATATCTCTGTGTCCATGACCCTACAAACTTAGCTCTTTGGGGTATAAATTAGTACTTCTAAATTTCATGGCTCGGGTTTTTTGTATTTTAATAAAATTTTAGATTAATTTTAATGACATTATCGATTAACTAAATAATATTATCGAAATAAACACGTTATATATAAAAATAATAAAATAATTTATCTTCTTACAAACTATCATTTATCTTCTTACAATTACTATCATTACACCTTATCTTCTTACAACCGTACTAAATAATTATTGTCCTCCTCATACTTAGCAATTTCAGAGACTTATACTTAACTTTCATATAATGCAAATTATTCTGCTTTTATATATATATATATATATTTATAAAGGGTGCTTCAAGTACTAAAATACATTTCAATTCAGGTGATGGTTTCTGCAAGGCGATGCTCGGAAGAAAAAAAAGGTAGATGATTTTATTTTTTTTAAATTAACTTAATTTAAGTGCTAAATAGATAATAATAATAAAAAAAGGCCTCGAGTTATAAATTATACTAAATTCAGGGACTAAATGGAAATTAATAAATAAAATGTGATTTAATAATTACAAGCGCTTCATGTTTAAAATTTGAATTTGAATCTATACTTCGTCGTCTTCATCTTTCTCTCACCTTTTTCTTGCACATCTCTTTCATCACTCAGTGCATTCCTCACCTTCACCAATAGTTCGGACCATCCGCTGCTAATAAATCGAGAATACCGACACCGAACGAGGAAATCCAAATTCAGGTTTATCAGGTTCGTTCCAAACTCTCTTACCAGCAAATGTAAAGTCTAACTCTAATTTCTCGTGTCTTCCCTGTGCTATGCTTCCTCTGTTTCCATTACGCGTGATTTTTTTTTCATTGGCTATAGAACTCTGAGTTTGAGTTTGTGATTTTTGTTTTTAAATTATGGAATGATTAGTTTGTTGTAGAGTTTATAGATTGCAAACAATGTTTGATTTGGGTTTGTTCTTTGAATTTGATATTTTCTTGAATTTCTCTCCTCCTCTGATGAAAATTCAAGAAACAAAAACAAGATCAGATTTTTCTTTTTTCTTTTTTTTTTTTCATAATTATTATTAGAATTTACTCACCTTCTTGACTGTGCTACTTAAAACAGCTGGACGCCTGCCAGACTCCTGTCCAAAGCACTATCCCATCTCCCAGCTGTTGAAAACAGATCAGTTCCCGCTGGTTCACTTCTCACTTGGCTGGTGGAGGCTTGTAGCTTATATACTTAGTATAAATGTCTAATCTTCAGAATGATCCCCTTCTACAAGTGGAAACGACCTGTGGATCCCTTCTTTATGAGTTGCAGGTTTATAGAACTTCACTTTGCTAATTAATAAGATAGAAGAGACCATATAGTCCTTTGATTATTACAGCTGCTGAATTCTTTTTTTTTTTCCTTTTTCTTTTCCTCTTTTTCTGGTACTTTATCATGAAAATCAGATAATTTGGAATGAAGTTGGAGAGTCAGATGCTGAAAGGGATAAAATGCTGCTAGAGCTTGAACAAGAATGTCTTGAAGTATACAGAAGAAAGGTGGATCAAGCAAACAGGAATAGAGCTCAGCTAAGACAAGCAATTGCTGACTCTGAAGCGGAACTTGCAGCTATATGTTCTGCGATGGGAGAACGACCTGTACATATTAGGCAGGTGAGGATGAAGTTCTGCTGACTGTTTTATCATTTTTTACCGTTGGGGTGCTATTGTGATTTAGTTCCAACTAAATTTTTGGTCTTTGGTCGTTTAAACTTAAAGGATAATGAAATTACACGTCAGAAATGATTGACTTACCATAATTTGTAATAATATTAACAATGATATAATGACTGTTATCTGTGTCATAAAACTAATCTGAAAACTGTAGATTAACTTATTAGTGGGCTCTTGGTATTGAGTGATCTTTCAAACTATCTATTTTATTCAAAAATATGAAGGGTTGTTTTAATTATTGTTTCCCTCTGAATTCTCCTTCTCAAGATCCTCACTGAAGTTGGACCATAATTTGATAAGGACCTTTTAACATTAAATATGTAAACGCTGGCAAAAGCTCAAAATTTGTTTAGACTAACTCAATAATTTTTTTCTTTAGAAGCAACATAGTATAAACGTATTTTGTTATAGACAACAATTACTTAGTCAGCTGGCAGATGCTCTCTCTTTGTATTTCTGTGTGTATGCGTGTGTGTCTAATTGTATTATCTTAGGCTGATCAAAATGTTGGAAGCTTGAAGAAAGAACTTCAAAAAATTCTTCCACAACTTGAAGAGATGCAGAAGAGGAAATTGGACAGAAGAAATCAGTTCCTTGAAGTCCTAGCTGAAATACAGAAGATATCAAATGAAATATATGGATCCGCTGATCATATGGTTGTTGATGAAACTGATCTGTCGTTGAAAAAACTTGAAGAGTTGCACAGACAACTTCATGCACATCAAAAGGAGAAGGTTTGGGATTATTTTCTTTCTCCGCCACAATTCATACGCCATAATGTCACTGATTGCTCTTTTCTCTTTGCAGAGTGATCGCTTGAAGCAGATTCAGGATCATTTAGATACCTTAAATTCACTTTGCTTAGTACTTGGCATGGATTACAAGCACACAGTTAGTGAAATTCATGCTAGTTTTGGTAATTCTGAAGTATCAAGGAACATAACTAATTATGCAATTCAACAATTGGCTGCTGCAATACACAAATTGCAAGAAATCAAAATGGAAAGAATGCAGAAGGTAGTATTGGTGTAAATTTTAGTCAATCTTTCATTTAAATATTTTGCTTTTGTTGATCATATTATGCCTTGAATGATGACAGCTCCAAGATCTTGCGACTACAATGTTGGAGCTATGGAATTTAATGGATACTCCAATTGAAGAGCAGCAAATGTTTCAGAATGTTACCTGCAACATAGCTGCTTCAGAACATGAAATTACTGAACCAAACATTCTATCTGTTGAATTCATCAATCATGTGGGTAGATAATATTCCAGAATTGCTAGATTTAAAATTTCAAGTCACTTGGTTTTGTATTCTTGTAGTTTGGAATTTGTCTTTTGAGAATTTAACTTGCAGGTTGAAGCAGAAGTCTGTCGGCTGGAAGAGCTGAAATCAAGCAAGATGAAAGATCTCGTTCTGAAGAAAAGGTCAGAGCTGGAAGACATCTGTAGAAAGACACACATGATTCCAGAAGCAGATACTGCGATAGATTATGCAATTAGAGCCATAGAGTCTGGTATTAGTCTAGATGACATATCATTGTAAATTTTATTCTTCATATCTCTAAATCTTTGACTTGACGTTGTTTTGTACATACTCCATTGCAGGAAACGTGGACCCTGCTGGTGTCCTTCAGCAGATTGAACTTCAAATTGCTAATGTCAAGGAAGAAGCTTTTAGCAGGAAGGAAATACTTGAAAAGGTTGAGAAGTGGGTGGCTGCATGTGAGGAGGAATGTTGGCTCGAGGAGTATAACAGGGTTAAGTGTCAAAATCATTTTCTTATATCTGCACTTTATCGTTTCTTAATTGCCTTGCTTAGTTGTCGCTTGGTGGTGATTTTTACAGGATGAGAACCGATACAATGCTGGGAGAGGAGCTCATCTTACTCTTAAGCGCGCTGAGAAAGCTCGTTCTTTGGTTAACAAACTTCCAGGTATGCCCTTCATATGGTTGACATTATAGCATAACTGTGAAAGGGAATCGCTTGCTTTTAATGTTTTGAAATCTTATGTGACTCCATTTTATCAAAATTTTATTGCATTAGTTCTGTATAGACTGCTTCCAAATTCAATTGTTCTTCCAGTATTTAAGGGGATACTTCTGCGTGTTTATTCATTTGATTACTTTTATTGCTCATTTAGCTTCATTCTCTTTACAACACCACAACCATGCCACTATTTTGGATAGTACGGTTTCCATCTCACAGTAAGTTGCTATTTTTATGTTTGTCCAGGCATGGTGGAGGCACTGGCTTCAAAAACCATGGCATGGGAAAAGGAGAGAGGCATTGATTTCTTATATGATGGTGTAAGTTCAGCACTTCTTACTAAGATTAGGTCTTGAGTCCTCTCTGTTTGGTTTCACCAGTTTCTTGGTGTCTATTCTACTTCTGAGTGAAAAGTTTCAGCTGAACCTGTTGCTACTAAATTTTCCAGATTCGCCTTCTTTCCATGCTTGAAGAGTATGCCTTATTACGGCAAGAGAAAGAGGAAGAAAGGCGGAGGCAGCGGGTATGGACCTGTTATTTGCTCTATCATATAAGTCTCTTTTGAAAGCGTTACATTGACCAACTCAATTGCGTTAGCCTGTATTATGGATGCTTTTGCATACATGGTAAACTAATTTTGACCTGTCTTGGTTGTTTGTCTGTTGTAGGACCAGAAGAAATTGCAGGGGCAGCTGATAGCAGAGCAGGAGGCACTTTATGGATCAAAACCGAGCCCTTCAAAGACTCAGAACGTTAAAAAAGCTCCTAGAGTTTCAACTGGAGGTGCAACCACCAGAAGACTTTCTCTTGGAGTAGCAGTGCTCCAAACGACTAAACCTGATTTAACTAACTCCTGCAAAGCTACACCAAATACACGTCCTGGCAAGAAAGTTGAACGAGTGCACCAAAATGACCATTCAACTCATCGGCAGGATGATGGCTTGGTAGCATTATCAGCTGGTAAGATCTTTGAAAATGTGGAGTTGCTGGTTTACTGAGGATTTGGTTGCCCACAATATCCTTGCTAAATAACTTTTATTTTTCCTTTCTCTTTCCATTCTTTTGTGTTTTTGTGAAGATGATATAATTGGAACCAAGGAATAACAGCCCTCCAATCTCCCACAGGGTCTAGGAAGAACACCAACAGTTCTTCACAATTATTTAGCTGTTGATTGCTGAAGATTTAGGTTCTGTCTCTTATTTTTTAGTAGCGTTTGCACAAAAATGATGCAAAAAGCCATAAGTGTCTTAACATACAATGAGCATCTGAACAGAATTTGGGGTGTTTAAGAGTTTTATAAGAGAAAGAAGAAAAAGAAAAACAATCGACCCTTCAAAGTTGGATAATTTAGTATAGTAGTTTAGAAGTAACAAAGGGTTCTCATGTTTGTTTGGCATGTTCAAAAGTTCTTCAGTTAATTTCATTCTTCATTTTCTTTTGACTGCTATATAGGTAGGAGAGGATTGGATATTGCTGGTCTTCCTGCAAAAAAACATCCCTTCAGTTTTGTAAATGCCCCTGAACCGGAATCACCAATGCTGAGGAAACCTTTCTCATCTATTTCTTCCACAGGATCATCAAAAGCCAACATATTAGAAGATGTAACCACAACAAATGGTGAGACATTTAAGAAGACACTACCAACTAATGAACTGTCTACTACTACTACTACTCCTTTGAAAACTTGTGTCCTCGATGAAGAGAATAGGACTCCAAAGGCAATGCCAATCCCAGTGCCCTCAACACCTTCTACATTGTCTGTTCCAATGCAGACAGTTATGACCCCAGCCCCTCTACTAGTTCCATACTGTGCTAATCAAGCAGAAGAGGTTCCAGAAGAAATTGAATATTCATTTGAGGAAAGAAGAGCTGGATTTGTTCCCAGAAATCAAATTAAGTCGATACAAATATGACATTATCAGCTTTTGGTAACTTGAATTGAAGTGTTGTTATTCCTATGCATGATTTTTTTTGTTCTTTTCTTCTTTTTCCCCTCTTTTTCTTGGGATGAGTCAAATTGTAATTTTCTGCTACCATATTACTGTATATAGTCTACGAGTACTGAACGTGGACTAATCCAAGCTTAGATTCAATTGAATATCCTTAACATTTCTACTGTTATTTACTGGCTGCAATACAGTTCAATTTTGTGTATAAAAAGTTGCTTTTGTTCTTCACTTGCATTTCATTCTTTCCCAATTATTTAAACCGTTGTTTCAATGGAAAAATAGGAAAAAAACAAGAGACACTGAATGTTTAAGTTGCTCTGGATTTGAGCATAAAAATAATAATTTCATTCACACGAGTTACTATACTAAACTTTTATTTATTTATTTATTTTTCTAATTTGATTACATTAGAGATATTTTGATAAATTACTTTTCAGAATAGCTGACATGGAGTGTGACCTCAGAGGAACATTTTGAGTATTTGATAATTCAAATTATGAGTGAGTCTGCAATGATATTGGAAATTCAGAAGAATTAGTGAGCTTCAATATTATTTAAATGTGTTTTATCTATTAAGCCTTCTACATTCTCAGATTCAAAAATGTTTTCATAAATGAAAAATAAAATAGATGAGAAATTTATTAATTTCATTTGAAGACATTAACGTGTTTTATCTATAAATTGTTAGATTGAAACCTTATTATTAGGCCAAAACCTTTGACCGTTAGTTAACGTGTAACTCTTTCTATTTAAGCGCCACGTTTTCAGTAGGACTTTATCCACCTAGATTTTCGCCATAGCACGATTGTTGTCGCGATCTTGGCTAATAGGCTTGAAATTTTAGGCCCCATGCCGTAAATTAATCGTTACAGTAAGATTTAACTGATAGCCATTTAAGTAATAATTATACGAGTTAATTTTTCATAAAATATTAAATTAATTTAAATTTTATATTACAAAACATTATAAAAAAATAATATTTAGTATTTTGACCGTTTAAAAAGTTGTTACTAGACGAATTTTAAGTTAAACAAACTAAAATTCATGGACTCAATATATAAAATAAGCCTAATGAACTCATTTGTGTGGATGGTCAATTTTATCCAATTTATGAAATGGCTTCAATTAGATATAGTAGTTTGAAATTAGTGGAATTGCAATTGTATCTATCTTAAGTAGGCTTTAACAAATGTGTATTAAGATTAGTGTTTTAATTTTAGACAATTTACCCATCTCAATTTTTCGATATACTGTTAGAAAAACTTTAAATATTTGATTAACCGTCAAATTAGTTTAAATTTTTCTATAAAATATCTTTTTATCAATATCATTACTGAATATATTTTAGGTTTTGGATAAATTTTTTTGTTATATATAAATAAAAATTAATTATAATTGTAAAATCTAGCATTTTAAATACACAGTGACTTGCCGTATAAAAATTGAGAAAAAAGTAAAAGTTTTTCAAGCATATATTATTCCAGAATGGAATTGAATATTTCTTTGGTCATGCCTATCTTAGCAATTTCAGATTGAACTTAGAAAATCAGGAATAAATAAATAAACATTTGATATATAGTTTTTTTCTTTGTTCTTCAATCTTAATTTGAAAGTTTTGTTTGCAAAATAAAAGAAAATTATATCTTATCCATTTAATTTTTTTTTCTTTCTTTCTCCTTCTCAACCTAGTATCTAGAGCTGTGCGAAACATCCAACTAAACCAAAAATCAAATCAATCCATTTCGATTTCGTTCAATCAACCCGCTCAATGAGAGTTTAGTATTGTTAGCTCAGTCGTTTTCAACTGAAATTATTGGCGACGGTTTTGGTTTTACAAAAACTAATTATTTAAACTTAAAATCGATTGGTCAAGCTCAAATGCCAATTTTAGTTTGATTTGATGCTCGTCATAAAATTTCGATTTTACATTTTTTAGCCTTTGGTTAAGCAATTTGGAAAACACATTAACTTGAAGGTAGTTAGGATCATAAAAGAACTAAGTTGAGCTCAGTTCAATAAGCATATGCTCAAGCTTGTTTTCGAGCTTGGAAATTTGATTTCATACTTAGTTCGTTTTAAAATAGCCAAGGTCAAGTTCAGCTCGATAACCATAAATGAAAGGAGCTCGAAATCTATCAAACGAAAAATACGTCATTTTACCGCAGGTTTAATTGATTTTGGCTAGCTTACTAAAGCTCACGCACTGCAGGTGTAATTGATTTTGGCTAGCTTAATAAAGCTAGCACAAGCTGGCTCTTAAGCTTAGCTTGATAAAACTAGCTCATAAGTTAATAAGCTGATCAAATAAGTTTTTACCAAGCCAAGCCTTAGAGCGGCTTGTCTCATTTACAACCCTAGACAGCTATGAATTATATCCCCTTAACTCATTCTTTGTGTCTTTCTCACTCTCTCTTATTGTTTTCTTTATCTTTGATCAAATGCATATTTACTAATTTTGCTCAGGACGTACCAATCTCTTACTAATTTACAGTTGGGCATTGTCTCATCTTAGTAGGAAACGTGTATCAGACCTACATTATCAGTAGTCTAACTCCCCCAACCTTCCTTTATTCATTCTGAAGAGGAAGAGAGGGAGGTGGCAAAGAAACCAATTCCCCAAATAGATAAGAGTATAGGCCAAGTACAGTTTGAAAACAAACCAATTATAAATCTCACTTAGGCTCTTCTATTCTATGTCAGTTATATTCAGTATTTGGAAATTTATTTCAAACAAACAGAAATATTCCAATTCAAACTGAAGGTTGTTTTTGAACAGAAGCCAATTATAGGCATTCAAGAACAATGGTGGAAGCAAGATCAATTTTGAGGTAATGTTATCAAATGAGTCATGTCCATCACATAAATGCAGAGTCAAGACATCCAAGAGCTGGTAATTTACCTGCAAGAATCAAGTCCGAGCTAAATGGCACTTCATGATCCAACCCTTTACATGAAGACTGGCATTTTAAATTGCTATCATGGGGCTCCTTTTAATGCTTACCTTCCTTTAAAATTGAAAGGTGAATGTTTAGGATTCTTTGCAATATTGGCTACAGACTGGAGTCCGAAGAAATCAAGCCTATCTACATAAAAATACAAAGCATGACCCTCTTTCTGCATATGTGCAGTCAAGGGAAAACTCCTTTTTGAATCCCTGTTAGGGAATATCCCAAAAGGGAGTTTCACGCTCGAGATCAATCATCTATCTAATGGTGAGTTTAATCGCAGAAGTGGAGTAAAAACACCAAATTAAAACCATTTCTGAATGATCTTCAATCCAATTGCTCGCGTAAATTTCCGTGAAGCATTAAATTCTATACAGATGTAGCAATATGATGTCTTGAGACCTATGGCAAAGGGCTTACTTTACAAACTTCTGTGTTGAATCCACAATCCATTAATAGCAATAGCCATGCATGCTGCTGTTCAGATAGACGATCCTTGGGGCCTTTGACTTCAACAAGCTTGGCTTCACCTTTGTATTCTCCATTGAAGCGCCATAGCAACAAATCAGGCATTCCACTGGACCAACTTCGATAATCTTGGGCAAGATGGAGACAGAGTGAGGCCAAACAAGGGCCCCCAATGCAGGTAACGGCAGCCCTGAGTTCAGAGAGAGAATGTCGGTTCCAGTTAACTCCCTTACAAGCTGTTCCTGAATGCAATTCCCACGATGTAATGATGATCTCCTCAGCCATACCACCTTGGATTTTCTGCAAGTGAGATTCTATAAGGGTCTTTCTCACTGGATAGAAGCCATCAGTCTCCAAATCCAAGGGAGCAGTCTGCAAAATGAAATGTTCTTTATTTTTCTTCTTAAATCATATTTAAACAAAAAAAAAAAAAAAAAAAAAAAAGGATTTTCTGCAAGTGGAATTGCTATAAAGGGTCCTTTTCTTCACTGGATAGACAGCCATCATCTCCAAACCAAGGAGCGTCTGCCAAAAATGACATAATGTTCTTATTTTTTTCTTCTTTAAATTCATTTATTTAAAACAAAAAAAAAAAAAAAAAAAATAAAAAAAGAGAGCTGCCCTATATATTACTCTGTTAAATCATTAAGCACGATAAATAAATATGTTCTACCTAGTTAAAAAAAAAAAAAAAAAAAAAAAAAAGAGGAAGTGCCCGTATATATACTCTGTTAAATATTAGCACGAATAAATAAATATGTCTACTTAGTTGCATCAAGAACTATCCTTACAACAACTGTGAGATGAAATTACTAACAAAAGAATTCATTCTGCTTCTCAGATAGGGCTGACACAGGAATCATGCTTTATAAATTATGAATAAACAAGCAATAAATCCTTGTTTATGTTCCATAGATTGGCAGACAAGGTAAAAGCAGTGCAAGTATGAAATAATTTACTAGTCAGAAATTCCTCGAAATGGTTTCTATTTCCATAAAGAACTTTCACGCTTTCTGTCTTGATGACCCATTTTGTTTTGAATTTCAACTAGCAGATGCCCTAAAAAAATATGATAGATTGTTGAAAGAGGACACATGAGATTTGGCCTGAGAATGTAAAGTCTGAATTCCTTTCTCTCTTTAGCAGACATGGGCGTTTGACATTTTCCATTTCTCCAGCCATCATCAGGGAACAGCCTAACTATTTGTTTCATACTTCTAGAAGAGACTTTTTTATTATCAGTCTTGCTGTTGATGCTTTCATTTTGAGCACAAAATGATTGTAAGACATTGAAAATGTTTGACAGAAGTTGCAGTCTGAATTTACCACACATCAGTTGCAAATTTGCAGATGGATACAGTTTATAAGGGGAGAGTTTTATCTTCTAACATTGTTCAATGTATTGAGATGTCAGAGGTTAAAGTTAATGTCTATGAGTGGTTTGGCATGCATCAATTTGTCTCAAGAAGAGTTTGCAAGTTTACCAACTAGATCAAATTGTATGATGTTGGAATGACCTTGGAATTACTTAGATGTCTCTTTAAGTGGTAATCCTAACCAAAGTGCTAATATATGGGATCCAGAGTTCCAGAGATTCTAAGGAGGTTGGATCAGAGTTTTAAATAACAACATCAGAAGCTGTTTGAGAACTGGAAACCATATAACAGAATTGGGTAGAATCAAACCACTAAGGATTGAATCGGATACAATATAGTGAATAGTTTTCAAAATTAGCAAAGTAACTCGAACAAATATTAAATGAGCAATTCAGCTAAATATCATCACAATCTTCTGTCTTATTATGAAATTTCATTTAGAAAAATGATTTACAATGAGCTGTATCACAATGGGGAATATCATATCAGCAGGGCCAGCCATGTAACTTATCAATATTTAAAAGGCTGAATACATCATTTGCACCCTGGACTTGCGCAAAAAAGTCTTGTGGCCCCATTTACTTTGAAAATGACCTTGTGGCCCGTTGAAGTTGTAAATTTGCTACTATTAAACACCATCCAAGTAAACAAAAACGCATGAATTTCAAACGCACTGATGTGCAAAAATAAATGTTGGCTTGTAAAAAATAGAGTCAAAAAGATTTATTTTTCTTTTTTCTTTATTCATTGTAGTGGACCACCAACACTACAAATCCACTGGCTTGCTTCTTCATCTGTGATATTATTCTTTAAAAACACTGTATGTTTAGGACATGAAAAGAAGTGGAAACTATTTGTGTCCAATTCAATGAAAACTTTAGGCATCTATTCGTGTCCGATGAATTCATTTAAAAAACACAAGCATCACTTGAAAATTAAAAAGAAAATTATTAGGAAAAGAAAGAATTTCATAAAAGAATAATACAATACAAAAAACTAAGCTCCTGAAGTATAGTGATAGCATATACTCTGAAAGTGAATGATATGTGATTTTGCAACGCATCAGAATGTATTCAGGTTTCAATAGAGCTTCAAAGGGTAAACATTTTCTGCAAATAGGTAGGAGAATGAACAAAAAAACAAAAAATTTTGTAAGCTTTTGTTTTTTCAGTAATTAAAAAAATTTGAATGGAAGTACTAGGTTATTCATGTTTCTTTTTTAAAATTTTCTTTGGCTAATTAGTAAAGCTTAGGTTTAGAATAAAGTGTAGGTTTGAATCTGTAGAAAAGGAGGAGGAGAGAGAAACATAGTATTGATAGAATGAAAAGAGGAGAGAAAGAAGGTAAAGATATAATATTATTTTAATTAATTTAATGATAGAAAAATAATATTTAATTAATTAATGTTGGCATGTGTAAGTTTTTTTAAAGTCTCACACGCCCTTTAGAGTTTGTAATCCATTGGCTTTGCTAACTGGATTAATAAGTATGCAATGGTAATAAATTTACAACTTTAAGAAGCCACAAGGTCATTTTGAAAGTAGAAGAAGCCACAAGACTTTTTGACATAAGTTTAGGGGGCAAATGATGTATTCAACCATATTTAAAGCCCTAATTGGTACCTGGAAAGGTGCCCTTAAGTCAGGACCACAATTTTAGCCCCTTAATTTTATGTTTTACTAGAAGATATGTTTTTTACAATATCGTCAAATTGTGCAATAAACATGATTGCAAACATAGAAAAACTGTTAGATAATAATAAATTGTCACTAAAAATCCATAAAAAACAATTCAAGTTTTGTTTTTACTTTCTGGAAGCATAAACATTTGTCCCTGTCTAGGTTCTAAGTCCTCCATTGTCCATAAGAAGCCCACAGAAACACACCTACATACTCAGTTAAATTAAAAACTGAAGTTGGATCCCATATTTTATTTCCTCATCTTCAATTTCTTGTGCAGTGCATCACGCCGCCGCCCCCCGCCCCCTGCGTCTCCCAATTTTTTTGCTCATGGTAACGATTTTTTCTCTTGAAATATTTACTTGTATACAAATCTGAATGTATATTCCATATCTTTGTTACATGTTTTGTCGAATTCAGTTAAGTTGCTTTTTAAAGCAGATAGAAGGCTTTAGCTTATGGATTGCTGTGGAAATTCTCTAGTAGATCTTTCCCTTCATGCCTTATATGTCCTCAAGATCTGGAAAGGTTGAGTACTGCTCAAGGTAAGGACACAGACTCCTTTGTTCTGTAATTCTCCAAAGATAAGCTCTAATGATCTTTTGCAGGGAAAAAATGCTGAAAAGAAAAAGAAAATGGTCTAATAAGGCCATGCCATCCAATTCGCTTTTAATGTGTTAACAGCATCAAGACTTGGTTTCATTTATGAGGTGGCTTGAGCAGTTCGGAGTCATACTTTTAGTATACTGGTTGTCCATTCAAAATCTTTTAGCTAGTTTAAAAAGGAGAGATTATGGTGGCAGAAAAGGTGCTCAAGTTCTTTGGAATTTTCGTTGTCTGTTAGGACCTGAAATATAGCAGCCTAACTCTTGTTTGGCAGAAGGGAAGATGAAGGAAAGGAGAGGAGGTTAGAAGAAATAGGTAGTGGAGAATACAATTCCTTAGCCATTTATATTGCTATTCTTGTGGACAAAAACTGCAGAATCAATCTCATCTCATATTATGGCTTTGAAAGAATTATATCTCAAAAGCAAGCCGTTAATGTTGGCCAGTCCAAGTTCATATAAACCCCACAGTGAAGTCTGAAAGCCCATACTTCCATTGTGGTATCCAAGACAATTCCTATGTCTTATCTTGCAACTAGGATCCTAACAACCCACCACGCTCCGCAGTCCCTGCACCCATGATGAGTTAGCTTTGTGCTATGTTGGCTGTGTGCTAGGTTTTTTTTCCTAGCCAACCGGTGTCACCACCTAGCCCTGGGTGAACATTGAAATTCCAACATCACCACCCGCGACCGCTTGATTATATCAAGTACACTCAAAATCACAGTTAACATACTATCCCAACTGACTCAAACAAATAAACGTACAGGTCATTCCTAAACATTGTTTTTATGCCTTCGGATAGAATGCATTTGCTTTCAAGAACAGAGTTATTCTTTTAGAGGAGCTGTTTTTGGCTTCTATGTGGTCATGTGCTTCCAAAACTAACAAGGATTAAGGGGATTTTATCAAGTATTATCCAACTTGATTTGAAGGCATTAACTTTAGTTTGGTTTTTATGTTCTTGTTATTAGTTGTATTATATTAAGTTCTTCTGCAAGGGAATCTTTGGACTCCAAGGTAAACTTCTTTTTCCACAAATAATTCTTTTTTTTTCTAATATATATACAAAGAATTTCACTTACAAAACGACAAATGCTAATTTTATGTGTGCATAAAATTTCCAAACAGCAATACTTTGCTCCTGAAACATGCAAAAAGATTAGAGCTTTTCGGATAAAGTACAAACGCATACCTGAAATCTGTTCCGGAAGACATTCGGTACATCGGAAAATATAATGTCCCACATAAGAAGGGCAAAAATTGTCAACCAAATGCCACTCTCAGCATGAACACCATGCCATCCACCTCCTTCACCAGCATAATATTGCAAAGCAAGCTGCTCGACTCCACACTGTTCCCCATCTTCTCCGTAGAACCTGCTCTTCTTGCCGATTTCACAATTCAATGGTCTCCCCTGAATATGAACCTAAGTTGATAGTTGTGGAACATGAAAATTACTATCGTCAAAATGACATTATAGGTTGATTAGAAGTTTCATTAATCATTAGCATCCCTGAGTCTTAAAATCCATAAAGAAAATAACCAAATAATTACCTCCTTAACCTTCCTCCTAACAGAATCTGAGAAGCTAGGAAGTCTCCAGCGCCTTGGAGGTTTTCCCAGGCGAAGAACTCGCTTCTGCAATGCCATCCTTGAGCCAGCACGTACCCATTGATCCAATAAACCATGTTCAGCAACTGAAAGGCTCTCATTGCAACAGCCCATGTGCTCCAGATCAATGGACAATCTTAGTGTCCAATAACCTCGCCTTCCATCACAAGGAAAGCAAGCAAGCAATTCCTCTAGCAACTTTACTGCATCCTTGTACCTAAGAAGGACAAATTACTTCAAGTGGGTAGACAGTGCCTGGAAAATCCCTTTTTAATGCAAGGAATTTAAGAATATAATAATGAGCTGTAAATTTTTTTTTTTTTTTACCTGAAGTATATTTCTTGAGAAAGGTTATTATGGGAATGAGATCCTTCTTATTTATTTCAAACCATCTTGGAGGCCCCAAACTTTTCATGCTTTGTTTATTAAGCCCTCAAACTTTTATTAAAGTGCAAATTAGATTCTTTTTTTTTTTTTTTTTCATGTGTCTCCATCGGATCTAGATTCAATAATGATCATATCTTATGTGGGTCCAATAACTCTTCGTCCTTCCATCACAATGGAAAGAAGCAATGCTCACATCTCTAGCAGAGCAATTACTTAAGCATCCTTGATACACTTAAGAAAAAGGACAAATTAACTTCAGTGGGTAGACATGTGCGGTGGAATTAAGATGCTCTTTAAATTATGAAAGGAAATTTAAGAATATAATAATGAGCTGTAAAATTTTTTTAATTTTTTTTACCAATGAAAGTATATTTCTTAGAGAAAGGTTATTATGGGAAATGACGCACTCCTTCTTATTAATTAAACCAAATCTCTGTGGAGGACCTCCAAACTTTTTACACTGCTTTTGTTTATCACCGCCCTCAAATAATTGTATTTAAAGTGCAAATTTAGACTTCCTTTTTTTTTTTTTTTTTGTACAAAGTAAAATTCACTGAAAAAAATTTATTTAAACGACTATTTTAAAAAACATTAATTGGTCATCTGGAAGATGGTTATTGGAGATGAATGTAAATTTACATTTGATTTAAAGTGTAAATCTATAAAAATACGATGAGCTAACATCAATACTCATCATTTTCAGAATCACGAGCTATCCAAATGGCAACCAAAAACAAAATTGCACTATTCCCTTCACCATATAAAATTACTTTTTTTTTTTTTTTTGTACAAAGTAAAATTCACGAAAAAATTTATTAACGACTATTTAAAAAACATTAATGGTCCATCTGGATAGATGGTTATTTGAGATGAATGTAAATTTACATTTGAGTTTAAAGTGTAAATCATAAAAAATACCGATGATGCTAACATCCAAATACTCAATCATTTCAGATCACGAGCTATCCAAATGGCCCCAAAAACAAATTGCACTATTCTTCACCATATAAATTACTAAAGCTACAAAAAAGGAAAAACTCTTGTTTCTATGGCAAAAGTACAATTCATGAAAAAAATTATGTATGGTTAAAAACATTAAAATCATAATTTTCTCTCCATGGAAATTACTGGAAGTACAGAAAAGGAAAAACTCATCTTGTTGCCCTAAACTTTTAAAGTTTCATCTATAAATGCAATTTCTTTGTAATTCTTGAACTGCCAATACTAAATTTCTCATGAATTTTACTTTTGCTATCAAATACGTCGTCAATGTATATCAAGTTCAATGGTTTAATGTGGAGAAATAGAAGCAGCTCAATAGATAAAATGTGACAAGTTCCAGGGCTTGGAAATGAGTTTTTCCTATTTATTTTTGTGGATGATAGAGATAAAATCATGAGTATGAAAGTAAACATAGAACATGTATAGAATGATGAGTTCTGTCTTGGGGATGCCAACCATAGAACTTGTTTGAGAAAACCCAAACAACAAGTGAAAATGAGAGGTCTCTCTTGCTCTCCCTCTTGCTCTGTCCGAGATGCAAGGCAAACATTAGCAAGCAATGACAAAATGATAAGTTCCATACCTACGCTCAGACTCAAGAAAGGAGATTCCTAGCAAGACCACTTTTGAGTATACCCATGATGCTGAAAAATATGAAAGAAATATAGCTGCTGATTCAGAGGACATGGACTGTGTTGCTTTTACAGTATGGTTGGACATACGGGAGTCAGCTATCCTTATGCATGTTAAGACCAATTCATTGTCGTTTTGCTCAAGAGACTCATCCATTATTTGTGCCACTTCAATTGCCTGTGTTACACAACCATTACAAAAAATAAAATTGAACAAAAGATTAACAGCACTTTTGCATAAAAATATAACCTCTTCATAAGCTAGCAGGTTACTTCGGGTTGAGAAAATCTGTTCAGAGATAATGCAGCTGTAAGATGGATACTTGACGACCCCCAAATCAACTAGTAGAAATGATGATAGATTCTGTTCTCCATTCAGGAAGAAAAGTCTCTGCACATCAAACAAAATTTAGAGAAACCCTAAATGTAAATCAGACCTAGATGCTTGTCTGATTTCCATTGGGAGTTTTTTAAGGACTGGAAGTCATGAAAGGACCTCAGCACGCCAGAAAAGTGATTCAGCTTTTGAAGATATCTTGATACACAGTCCAGTTCTATCAAAAATTAAATTTTCCAGGAATAAGCTGCAAAAATGGAAACCAAAAGGAAAGATTGAAATTTAAATTCTCACATACCAAAACATGAAGCAGAACATTTCTTTGATAAGATTTGCTTGTACCATATTCTATCTTCATAGGGGGATAAAAGAGATGCAATAAGATCCTGCTTTCTTGTACCATGGGTGCCATTCTAAACATATCAAATAACAAAAAAGAAATAAGAAGCCCATCAGAGAAAAATCTCATAAATCCATCAACTTCACGACCCCAAATCCAATCCAATATCATATCCCTTGTACGCCCACTCTCTCACCTATCTTGCATACTATTCAGCAGAAACTAACGGCCTCTACAAGCACCGAATCCCTAAATGCTAGTGCCTATATAATAAGTTATACATGGGCAGCAAGTTACTCCTATGAATCCCTAATAAACGGTAAATTCAAATCAAATTAGGAAGTTGAGAAGCATATTTCAATCAGAAGGTTGTGCCAACAACCAATAATCATGTTCCATGCACCAAGTTACACTCTAACAATTGCAGCACAAATGAAGAGATTTTATGATTCAATTTCTACTTTAGTGTTCAAATTGAGTTGTTAATAGCCAATACTTAACATCCATTCAACAAATAATAAACACAAAAAGGCAGACGGGCGAAATAAAAATCTTTCTCTAGAAATGTAATAAGCTAGTATCAAATCAGAAGTTCCCCAAGTTTTACAACTACAAACATAAGTTAACAGTTCTATCGTAATAATAAATTATCATTACCGTTATTAATATTCTTTTTCTTTGATTGGGAAAATGTTAAATTTTATAGGATGCTTTCATCCTAGATTATCGTAATGAGCAACAAAAGTTTATAACAAAGTGCATAGTCTTGATTACTCAGATATTTTTAGTGATCAGTCACATTTGTAAGGCTTTTTTATTTTTCTAGCTACACTAACGGATGGCTAAATATCAATTGCATGAAATAATGCCTTTTTAAATGGTAATCTTGATGATAAGGTATACATGGAAAAACCTCTTGCGCAGGCAAATTCTTACAATGTGTTTGAAAGAGACCATCCTATGGTCTACAATCTTCTAACAGATGATATGGTAAACTTAATGTTGTTCTAGCTCTTAGCATTTAAAGATGAGACATAGAAACTATGTAGCAGGTAAGATATGCATTTAGACGATATTGTAATTACATAAACTGTGGGAACAAATGTTATGCATTAGGCCTTCAGAAGTAAGTTATGTTCCCTTCCTCTTTAGAATTGGCTTTGTCCTAGTTTTGGATTATCATAAAAGGACAAGGGTAGCTAGCTAGCCCAAACACCAATAATGTTGTGGATACAATAAAAGAGTATTGAAAGGAAAGAATAAGAGTCCCAAAGGTCAACCAAATAGAATGAAATTTCTGGTTACACAACCAGGAAAATAGACTTATCAGAACATACAACATAGTGTTTATTATCTCAGAATTCTACCTTGAAAATTTGACATTAATTTCATATGAGTAAAATTGAACCTTTGTCCCGCGTCAAAAAAAGAATGGTATTTAAGATTGTAATTAGGAATAGGATTGTATTACAAGTACTTATGTTATTTATTAATTATTTTTTTAGCTTTTGATCAATGACATGGAAGATCAGTTTAAGTATTTGGATGGGCATGTTTTCCTTGTATTTCCTTCCTTCTTCCTTTTCCTTCTTTCTTCAAAAGCTTCCCACTGCAGTGACACAAATGCCTGTTTACAGATTCTAAAAACAGCTATTAAGTTCTCTTCTTGCCTTAACCCCAAGTTAACCCCATAAAACTAGTCTAAATTCTTCTTTAAAATTGAACCCCAATATTCACCGATTGCATGAAAGTCAAAGAATAGCTGTTCAAGAAACTTGCTTAAAACTCAACAGATAAATGAAAATTTGAACACAATTGGTATGTCCATACACCATGAAAGAAGTCTGTTAAGGATTAGATGTAAATAGAACTCTGTTAGAAGTTAGATTTCTAATAGGTTTATAGTATTTTGTATGTGTATATATATATATATGTGTCCCTATTGATGAAAATTAAAAGCAAGAAAATACTTTTCCACATTAAATTCACATGGTATCAGAGCCTTTTAGCTCGTTAAACTTTTTTTTCCGTTTCCGTTGAAATTTCGGAGGCTGTTAGTTTTGGTGACCGTTCTAGGGTCACTGTTTTGTCTCACCGCCCACCTCAGAAGCTTCTCCAGCTGCCGACCGATGTTCCCTCCAAGTCCGGTCACTGGATTCCTTGTGCGTGGGCCTCACGCGCTGATTCTGTTTTCTGCTACAGTACCACACGCCGGCGCGTCCGACTGTTTCCAGCGATCGGAAATAGTCCTCTAGCTTGTTTCCACGTCAGCAGTCTACCCAGGTGGTTGTTTTTCCAATCCGGCGAAGTTTTGGTAGGGGCATTCTCAGTTTTGTCAATTTGACGTTTTAGGTTACTTTTCGCTCCTGTTTGCATTGAAAGGCTATTTTTTTTGGATATCTCTTTCTGCGTTGTTGGTAGGGTGTTTAGTTTTTATTAATAATGGATCCTGCACCTACAGATTCTAAAACTACTATTACTGAATATTGAAAAGGCCTATTTTTTTTTGGATATCTCTTTCCCTGCGTTGTGGGTAGGGTGTTTTAGTTTTATTAAATAATGGAATTGCACCTACAGATTCTAAAACTACTATTACTGAATTGATCCTAGCAATGAATAAAATCACAGAACAAAAATTGAAAGGAACTAATTATTTAGATTGGATTAAAACAATTAGAATTTATCTGCGGAGTGTTGAAAAAGATGATCATTTAATTGATGATCCACCAACTGGTGACACTAGACAACGTTAGCTCAGGGAAGATGCTAAGTTTTTTCTACTGATTCGCAATTCTATTGACAATGAAGTGGTTGGGTTAATCAATCATTGTGAGTTTGTTAAAGAATTAATGGAATATCTTGAATTCTTGCTTGAAATTCCTTGTATTCGGGAAAAGGTAATCTGTCTCATGTATATGAAGGTCTGCCAAAGGATTTTTTAATCGACGCCAACCAAGCAAGATACAAGATAAGCCCCTTATAGCTTATTTCATGGAATTTAAGAAGATTTACGAGGAACTTAATGTTTTATTGCCTTTTAGTCCCGATGTTAAGGTTCAAAAAATCCAGCGAGAACAAATGGCTGTGATGAGTTTTCTTGTAGGTCTTGCTTCGGTTTTTGAAATTGCCAAATCACAAGTTCTTTCAGGCAGTGATGTTACCTCTCTTCAGGAGACTTTTGCTAGATTGCTACATACTGAGGGTTCTCATACCCCTTCCCCTTCTGATAATAGTGCCCTTGTGAGTCGCAATCAGGTAGCTAGGCAGCCAAGAAATAGAGGAAGAGGAGGAAATAACCGTAAAATAACCGTAGTAATGGACCAATTACTCGAGAGGCAAGTATTCTTATATGCCATTATTGCCATGAACCTGGTCACACTAAACGGTATTGCAAGAAACAGATCAATAAGCCACCAAGGGTAAATACAGCCACTCAAGATTCTACAGTTACTTCTTCTGATAACACTGTAACAATTTATGCTACGGAGTATGCTGAGCTCTCTAGATACCGTTCTTCTAAGTCTACTGATTCCTTGATTGCTAGTGTTGCCAATTCAGATACTCCTTCATGTCTTATGTCTACCTCATCAGAGTGGGTCATTAATTCTGGTTGCACATATCACATGACAGGTAACCCTAGTCTCTTATCCTCATTAACTTTCCCTCATCTAAAAGACGCCTGAACAATTTAATCATCTGATTGATTATACTCCTATAAAGCTAATAGAGGTGTACACCAATCTTCCGTACAAGATGTTTAATGCAACACTTACAACAAGATGACACACCATTACAACAATGGTATCTCTCTGCCATTGTCTTTGTAGTTTTCTACCATTAGTTTCATATCAAAGAGATATTAATCAAGTTATGTAATAAACACTAGTATCAGATAATAACTGGCGAGAGAGCTCCTCTGATAATCAAGAAATTGTGAGAGAGTTCCCTATTTTACACACATTTGAATCCTACATATTGAGTATGTGTTGAGCAAGGAGAACATATAACCTGGCAATACGAATAACGCGGATTATCTTGGTTGCAGAGAAAATATAGAGAGAGGTGACTCTACTGGGCTATTCTTATATTAATGAATGAACAGGATCGTTCTCACTATTAATACCTCCGCTTGAGAGATAGTCTTCGTGTGCACTCTTAGTCGTCTAGCTGCCATACATTGAGAGTAGAGTATCTATTTTTTTTTCTAATGGATCGATTTGTAGAAGTCTGAGGCATTACATCTGATGTATGTAGCTTTAAATGATGAAAGTTGTGTCCTAATAATCATTAGCTCTTCAGTCTTATCGATCTAAATTTTTAGAAATGTGAAAGTCTTGTCAATTTGCCAAACATCAACTTACACACAATAATAGTAATAAATCCTCCGAGTGTCAAAAATAAAACACAAAATCAAACACAGTGAATGGAGAGTTTAGTTCTAGAATGTAATTTTAATGGTGGGTATACCGATGTCACTGCTATTTATTTTTCATATTAATGCCTTTCGTAAAAACCTGACTTATTCGGTATACTATTTCCTCCAGATCCACTGATTAATGATAGAGTATATGATTATATCTCAAGGGTGTAGAATTTATGCAATATGGTTATTAATTTATATGAAAAATACGTATATCTGAGAGCACACAATTCGAGTTATTTCATGTTCCTTTGAAGTTGCTACAGTGATCAAAAATCAATTTAGCAAATAAACTGCAATGACAATAGTCTATTCATTGTGATATGTATAACTGAGTGAGAGCATGATCTGAAATAAGTTGAAAACTCCCAACAAGATTAATACTAATCAATAGTCAAATGCGCTCATCTCGAGACTTTAAGGTACAGAGAATAGGTTATTATACTCAGTATCAACAACATGTTCTATGCGTTTAGCTTAGATACATGACCATACCAAGCAAAAATGGGCGCTCATATATAGTGATAAAATTCACAATCGTCTCATTTTAGACCGTTGCTAAAGTAAGCGAGAGCGAGAGCAGAGAGCTATCCGCTGTTCTTGCTTGTAAAATTGTAGCTTTTCTTTTTGCCCCCTCACGCCTTAGACCCTCTTCTGTCACAATTTCTATTCCTCCTATATGAAAATGGTCTTAAACATCTTTTGGGCTGCCCGATTAACGGCTTGTCTTCCTTACTTCTTATCTCTTTCTCCTCTGTAGGCAAACGTTAGTATATTAATTTAATTAAGAACAATGCACCTTACTTGCTGTACCATAATGGTGCATTATTCCCTTATACACTCGTTGTGTTTAGCCTTCTCGAAAGAAGTTATAAGTCACACCTAATTATCCTGAGGACCTTCTTCCGCCTGTAAGTTAATAAGGCTATATGTAATCCTGTTAAAGTTTGAGTAACAACCTAGGTTACCATCCAAAGTTCCTTCGCTGATGTTATCCCAATCTGTCCGTGAGGCAATCTAAGAGAAGTTTCGTTGCTTACTCTCACTGATCACTTGTGACTGAGTTATAAAAATTATTCCTCTAAAACAGATGATACCACCATTTTTTTTATGATTTACTGCATCTTTTTTGTCCTTACTTCTGTACTAGATAAGAGGAGGAGCACGGAATTGATATTTTGTAATTTTTTAGATTTAAATACTAGAATCATACATACTCTTTCAAACTGCTCCTGCCACCGTTCAATACCGTTACATTGCCAATCTTCGCATCCTATATAGAGCTTATTGCCATGAATGACTTTGACTATCGTTACATTCTATCGAGATAAAGAATATACATTAGAAAAATGAAGCAAGTGCAAAGTGTTAATTAATGGACCGACCATTTTTAATGGATAGCCACAAAATGTAAAAGAAAAGTGAAGAATAATATCATGCTCCCCTATTCCCCGCCTCCTGCACCAAACATCTGCTGCCCTCGTGCCGTTGTGAAATATGTCCTTTTTTATTCCAGGAAGACCAAAAGAACTCTTGAACCACATTTCTTTTTCCTCCATCCTTATCTTTTGCTCTTTATACTATGAGAGAGTTCTCCGGTTTCACCATACCACACAACCAATGTAAGTCCATGTGACTCATTCGAGCTTTCTCCACACTTAACGAAACCTTTACCCCATTGCTCTTCGAAATAGGTAAAACACAAGTGTACCCTCATCCTCATTTCTCTCTTCTTCGCGTCAAATTATGAATCACCTTTCCTTCTCATCTCATTGTTTTTCTAAGTATACCCCTAGACTCTGTCTCTATACCCTAAACTGGTTGTCCCATGCTTTAAATCCCATCCCTGGTTGTTGTCTGCCAGCCAATGAAAGAGGAGACTCGTTGCTGCTTTTTGTTATACACAAAATGAGGGTTATCTCAATATGGAACTCTTGTGCCTTCCCGCGGCGCTGCTTGGAACTTCGGTCTGAAAAACAGCAAGAAAGAGACAAGTAGAGAAAGCTTAAATTTGGTGTGTTATAGCTGAGTTGTCCATTCAACCGTAAATGTGATCCTGAATGAGTTCTTATGCCGTGCTACAAAGGCCTCAATTAGTTTGCAAAGATAATAAGGGCTATTTTTTTCAGAGTTAGAGAGAATATATTTACACTAAAATACTTTCTCCCTGTTACAATGTATAAATTTTAGGTCTATCTGTACGTTTATATTACTCCTCATAGCGCAGCTATTTTTTGTACTTGCTTCCTTTTCTATATATTCAAGCTGGGATGTTAAGCATAATTGGCCTTTCCATTATGCTAGAGTTCAGGAGAGGCGAAAATTTTAATCAATATGGGAGACGAGTAATACCACGCAGGCATATGCCTGCATAAAACACGTACGGGAAAAAATAAAAAAGACTTGGGAAAAAACGTCTCTTATGGAGCCTAAAAACAAAAGTCCTTCTGATCTTGGCTGTGTAAAATTATTCTCTATTCGCTGGTTTATATATTATTGTTTAGGCAATGCAAAAGAGAACTTTACTGATCAGTCTGTAGAATTTCAGAAGTAAAAATATCTAGGTTGTATACTTATATAAGTAGGAGTAGAATGAATAGAGATTGTATATTTAAGAGCGTTCAAACAGGGAGTGATGTCAGACCGACAGTTACATACATCAATGTTACCAAGTTCTTCCTATACACCGCAGTTTCACAGAGCTATAAAAGACTTAGAGTAGTAAGTATTGAAAGTTAAGATATTCTACTTTGGTATGCAGAGTAAATCCGATCAAAGCAGTAGTATAGAAATCTCTTTTTACCCTGTCAAACGGAAAGTGATGTTCCGGAGAGCTGAATGTGAAAGAAAGAGGGAGGATTAGCAGTAGTTTCTCATCATGACTCCAATTTGCAATTTCGATATGGATCAGAGTGAGCTATTTGAATATGATATTTCCTTGATAAGTAGTAATACTAGTAAGAAATAGTGGGACAAATAATTGATTACTCTTTTCTAAACAGCAGACCACGTTACTTCAGTCTTACATCTGGCATAAGACACAATATTAAATTCTAACTTGTATCTCCTATTTATATACCATATCTATGGAAAAGGTATGAAAAAGGAGACCACATATATAGAGTAGCTGACCTTATACAAAATTCACTACTGGCATTTTGCATAACCATATGTATGTTCTTTCACTAATGTTTTGTTTTTTCAAGAAATTGCACGGTCATTTAGGGGCTATGGTAACGAAAGGTTTGACTAAAATGATCAATTATCAGGATAGTATGTGAATCCTTTGTATGAGAGTTGAATGATACTTGAGATTTGAGTTCGTGTTGTATGGAGGGATAGCTAAGAAAACAAAATGTTAATCCTCTATAAATATCGAGGTGCTGGAGAATCAGAATAGTGAAGTTAGTGGCAACAATCTGCTTGGTGAATTAATTTGGTATATTACAGTCAGTCTGTACACAGACGTAATTAGGACTTCAAGTCACTTCACCTTGCCAATACTTTAGCACTTTGTAGCAAAGAGTATACGTGCGCTGCTCCTTGCCTGCAAAGTTACGGTGTGATAATCAAGCTGCTCTTCACATTGCATCAAATCTAGTATTCCATGAACGAACAAAACATATCGAGATTGATTTTCATTTCATCCGGAAAAAGATACAACAAGGTGTATCTCTACAGGGCATGTTAAAACAAGTGAAATCTTTACAAAAGCTCTAAATGGACCTCGGGTGGATTATCTTTGTAACAAGTTGGGCATGATTAACATCTATGCTCTAACTTGAGGGAGAGTGTTAAGGATTAGTTGTAAATAGAACTCTATTAGGAGTTAGATTCCTAATAGGTTTATAATATCTTGTATGTGTGTATATATATTCTATTATGGCAGTTATGTATTCTCTAATATCGTTTTATGTATAATATATCTTGTATGCTTCTGTGTATATTATTAAAGTTGATAATTGCGTTTTTGTTGTGTGTGTCGTGTGTGTGGTTGTGATCCCCCTTGTGAATGAAAAATTAAAAGCATATGATAATAATACTTTTCCAACATTAAATTCACAAATCTTCACTAGATAAATCACAGAAACAGATTATTTTGCATCACTAATATATGTGTGTGTGTGTGTGTGTGTGTGTGTGTGTGTGTCCCTATTGATGAAAATTAAAAGCAAGAAAATACTTTTCCACATTAAATTCACAAAGTCTTAGCTAGAAAACATAGAACAGATGTTTGACTTGTATCTATCCACACTGTGATCTCTTACTGTGTAGCTACCAAAAGCCAATTCATCATTTTACAAGCATAAACTATGGATACAACAAAAAATACAAGGATCCATCCATAATGCTCTATTTTTTATGCATTACAAATGCTAGAGAAACAGTTAAAGTATGGTTTCTACTCGAGATTTTAAATAATGCTGGTAATGGTCAGCTGGCACTGCAGTAGACTTGAACAAAAAAAAAATGGCAAAAAGTTTCCAAAGTATATTTTTGATAAATCTTTATCTATATGTTTGGTACAGTAGCACTCTCAATACTTAAGATAACAATTCACGGAAAAACAAATATAATTTTGTAGACAAAATCCACATGACGGCAATATTCCTTTTTTTTTTTTTTTTTTTTTATTTTTTTATTGTTTTTGGCAGCTATAAGTTAATCTAATTGAGACTAACAAAAGAAAATTTTTATAGAAAATGTGGAAACTGTAAAATTTTATATAAATTATTTTTTTTTTTTTTTTTTTTTGCGCTAAATTAACTATTGAGACTACAAGAAAATTTTTAAGAAAATGAAACTTAAAATTTTAAAGAATTAAATTTAATAACAATTTTCACAAAAAAATAAGTAGATGGGTAGAAAGCCCTTTTTATCAAAAGGGTGGAACCTAGCCGACATTTAAGAATTACTACAAACATCTTTTAGCTAGCGGCCTCTTGTTCTCAATTAATTGCTTAAAGGAAAATCCAACATACACTATGGTTTAAAGAAACAAACATTGAAACAACATCAGAACTCCTAAAAGTAGAACCATTCTTACAATGAAGTACGTAAAGTAAAATTTGTTCCAACATTTCGGTCCCTAGCTTCGGATCTAGATATGGGTCTTTGAAGTAGAGGGTCAAGTTTGAGATGGGGTGTTGTAGAGGGATTATTCTTCCTTCTACATATGATGACAAACTTGGAGAGAATCTACAATCTCTTGAGTTTAAAAATACTCAACTTCCGAAATTTTTCTCATAACTTGTCCATTCATCAAAGATCAAAGAAATAGTTCTACGAGAAATAATTCTCCTACATTTTAGGGAACATAAACAAACATGGCCAATATCACCACATACATCTAAGAACAAGGACAACAACTTCAAACTTCTTTTACAGAAATAACAATAGAATAGAACAGAAAATAAATAAAAATTAGAAATTAGAAATCCCCAATCTGCTACAACTAAATGGATGGAGTGGCTATCTTGGGCTGAGTACTGCTATAACACCAGTTACCACTCATCACTCATGGCAGAAAAATTCCAAAGTCTTTGAGTGCTTTAACTCAAGAGATCCAGGTTCTCTCTAACGAATCTAATTTAGTTACAATCATAGGTCGCAGAAAGAGAACACCCACTCCACCTTCCCAACCTGCCCTCACTCATCCTGATATTTTAACTCACCGACCCATAAAGGGACCATAACAGAACCTCCTGTAAATCACATCATATAGCTTGATAACATCTAATCAAGTCGTAATACTTTTAATATCACTCACAGTTATCCCTTAAACAGTACACTCTATTAGCCAACACTAAACATATCCATTCCTTTTCATTTTAGTCCCAAAAATTTTGAATTTACACTTTCCTTTTTACTCTTTTGCTTCTTCAATTTGAAATAAACACTTCAATGATTTATTAAAAAATGTATAGAAGTAAGAAATTTCACATTAACAAACAAAGACAAAAAATTCTTCATAACTTTGGATTTTTATTTGTGTTTGAGAAACGTCATGGTTTATATGATGAACATTATATTATCTACTGGATATTTTCAAAAATATATAGCATATAGTTACTAACAAATTTTTTAGAAAAATGCAGAAAATAGCACACCTGCAATAAGTTCTGCTAACAGATTTTGTGATGAATTAAAGACCTTGTAGAACACATGCCAGGGGGGAACTATGCTTGAGAAAATGGTAGATACTCTAGAGAGTGAATAATTAGTAGAATTTGGATCAAGTTACTACTCTTGGTTGATTTTTAAATTTACAGTTTTCCTTTTTACTCTTTTTCTTCTTCAATTTGAAATAAAAACTTCGACGATTCTTCAAAAAAATGTATAAAAATAAGAAATTTCACATCAACAAACATGGACAAAACTTTCTTAATAACTTTAGAGTGTTATTTATTGTTTGAGCAAATCCATCGTCTATTGAATGTTAAACTTTATATAATTTATTGGATCTTTGAAAAGTATAGTTAATAGAAAATTTTCAGAAAATGCAGAAAATTTGCTCACTTGCAATAAGTTCTGTTAACAGATTTCTTGATAAATCAAAGACCTTGTGGAACACATGCCGGGGGAAAATATGATTGATAAAATGGTAGATACTCTTGAGAGAGATAACTAGCAGAATTTGGATCAAGTTACTTCTCCTGGTTGATTAAATCAAAGTACAATCTCAATTTGTTTTCTCTCTCAAAAGTATGGCTTCTAATTGTCTATTGGTTATATTACCTAAACAAGGTCCTAAAAAAGAATGTCATTCTCGAAATTAAATTCCAAAGCCCAGAAAAAACATTTGCAAGTGATAGGTCAACATACAACAACAATAGCAAAGGCCAAGCCCTATCAACACGATCGCTTCATGAGTCCCCTTCAAGCCTAGGAACAGGGACGAGTACCTATCCACCATGCGGCATAGTTTTACTGGGAAAAATTTTCCAAATTTGTTGTTTACGTTGATCTTTAAACATCTGCTCATTCATAATCCTTATTTTTCAGCGACATAATACATAATGCATACTATTTTTTGAAAAATGTGTGCGTGCAGAATGTATGAGAAAGTAATGGAAACAGAATATAGCTACATATAATAAGCAAAATATGATTACTGCAAACCTTCTTAAATATGGATGTAATTTCACGCAGCTCAGAAACAGTCAGCAAATTCAAAATCTCTTCCATTTGATTCTTTTGTAGTTCTTTTTATGTATCTAACTATTTTTTGAGGATGAAAATGTGTGCGTGCAGAATGTATAGAAAGAAAGTAATGGAAAAAAATATAGCTAAACATAATAATAAGCAAATATGATTACAGCAAAACTTCTTAAATATGGATGTAAATTTCACGACAGTACAAACAGTCAGAATCAAAATCTCTTCCATTTGACGTTCTTTTGTCAGTTCTTTTTGCATCTTCAATTAGAAACAATATGAACCTACATGCATTAGAAAGGTCATATATGTAGACCGAGAAAATCCCTATGTTTAAAGCTCAATTAGGCCAGGACATATTAAAGGTAAGAACAAATTAGTTAACCCAATTAAGGAAAATAAAAAATAACCCAGAACAGTCCCCTTGATTTGCCTGCCTATTAGAATCCGTCCACTTCTGGATATGAGATACGTAGCCCACCCGGAACCATGGTCCTAAATATATGGAACAGCAATAATATTAAAAATTATCAGCACTTTGAGGGGGTAGATATAAACTCATATCCGGTAGAGAGCAAAATGTTGAGATTGAGAATTATGTTCGATTAAAATTCGTGATATAAAATTAACAACCAAATGATAAGCCAGATAAGACGCAAAACATTACTACACTTGAGGTGGGAATACCTAATGTTAATGGTAGCAAATGTTGTGAACTACATTCGAAATATCGTGATAATACCAAGAATAGTCTCCAAATGCCAAATCATGGCTTTTTTCAATTCTGGACTCAATCCGCCAAAAAAAAAAAATTCCATTGGCACCTGGAGACTTTCACAAAATCCTATATTGATACCCAAATAAGAAAGCACGAATAATTAATGAACTCTTGAGTACGGACTACTATCATTTAATAATATTACTACACTTGAGGGGAGAATACTCTAAGGTTAATGTAGCAAATGTTGGTGAATTATTCGAATATCGGTGATATAAAAAAATAATCCAAATACAAATCATTACTACACTTGAGGGGAGAATACTCTAAGGTTAATGTAGCAAATGTTGGTGAATTATTCGAATATCGGTGATATAAAAAAATAATCCAAATACAAATCATTACTACACTTGAGGGGAGAATACTCTAAGGTTAATGTAGCAAATGTTGGTGAATTATTCGAATATCGGTGATATAAAAAAATAATCCAAATACAAATCATTACTACACTTGAGGGGAGAATACTCTAAGGTTAATGTAGCAAATGTTGGTGAATTATTCGAATATCGTGATATAAAAGAATAATCCAAATGCAAATCATCTTTTTCAATTTGGATCAAGCCAAAAAAAAAAAAATTCCATTGGCACCTCACAAATCCTATATGTTGCCCAATAGATAAGCAAGAATAATAATAACTTGATGTACGACTACTTCATTTATATATTAGCTCCATGTTAATAACTCAGTAGAAGTGCAACAAAGAATAAGTGATAAATTCAAAGTGTTACAATTACTGCTTAACCATTGGAAGAAGAAAAAAAAAAAATCCACCAGATGGTAAAATTAACTTGCCAGCAGATGTGGAATGCTTGATAGCGTGAGATCCACAGAAAATCAATTCAAACAGAAAAGAGAATACAAATATTATGCATCTTGAAATATTTTTAAGCAATACACCCATCAAATTTTCATGATAACCTCAGAACTTATTGGTAATAAATGTATATTGATATGAATAAAGCACGAACACTAGGAGCCCAAATCAGATTCATCCTGATACATGTCTTAACTCTCAAAAAAGATCTTAAAATTTAGGAGAAAATTACAATCTATACAACACCAGAATGGAAACGTGGAAACGGACATAGGGAAACAGCATTTGAAATACAACTTTACACGGGAAACGACATTTTAACAAGGGTAAGCCGACAGGTAGAGACGTCTCCCAAAGTGCATCATAGATTACAATGAGAATAATAGAGATAAGGAAACTAGAAACCAACAATATACATTGAGGGGTGAATGAGGGATGTATACATCACACAGAAAAGAAGAATAAAGGGAGAAGTTAAACTAGTCCAAAAAATTAGGGCCTTACACAATAATAGTCCTCAAAAATATTAGAATATACATTTCTACGTATAGAAAAAAGTTTTTTACTTTCAAAAGGATCCCCTGTTGTTAGTGATTCATTATAGTAATGTTCCACAATACTCATTTTGTAAAAAAGTCATATAGACTGCAAAAGAAATTTTAAGACTAAAATTAGTCCCCAAAAGTTTTAATAAGGTCCTTGACTAAAACATCAACAAACAAAAAAGGAAGTATTTCTAATTCCATCTTCTTTTTTAGTTTCATATCAATTTTCCTATTATCAATCTCTCAAATACGTATCGTTAATTTTTGGTAAGCTTTTTTTCTTTTTTAACTATGAACAATTTTGAAAAAAATTGTAGAATTTATATTATAATCTTTCTATTGTGTGTTTACCATTTTTTTATTTTAAATTATATCAAACAGAGTGTTTCTGCAAATTTAGAGAAACATAAAGTTCTAAATATACATTTTGAATGTATTATTAAATACAAATTTTAATCTTGCATAATTTGATATTCCTTGATTTTATAAGTTTACATCAAATTCTTAGCACTATGTAGACTAAGAGTTACATGATTTTAGTTAAAACTAACTATTAATTTGTTTTATAGATATTATTATAATATCAAACATCATCTCTTTCTTTTCTTTTCTTTCTTTTTTTCTTTTTTTTATTCTCTTTTTTTGGAGGGGAGAGAGAGATTACTTAAAACTATACCTGTTCATTTTGGCGGCGGGCCAGGCCCAATCAAACGTAAAACTTTTATGATATAGGGCCCCAAAGATCAAGTTTGATTAATGAACCAAGCCAAGCCCAACAAAACAATAAGTATATGTGTAGCACTGCTATTTTATTCACCTTGCAAGATGAGTCACATCATATGGTAAAGCCTTAAACAGACACAAACTACAAGTCTAACTCAACTTGGAGCTGGGCTTTGAACCAATAAAACCTAGCAAATCCACAAACTAATCTAAATCAGATTAAAACTATTTTGAAGGGTTGAAAGAATATAATTTAGTTCATTCAAATTGATAGGACATTACTTTATTATTTTCACTAACATTTTCATGAGAGAAGGCTAACAACAGGACAAAATATTGAAATAGTTTTTGTTGCTTGAATGTGTCTTTTGTAACCTTAAGGATTATTGCTGTACAAATACTAAATTTTGGGACTAACTTTAACTTTCCTCCAGGAGGCGGTGGGCCAGGGGTGCGGGGGTGGGGGAGAGTTTTAGATATCACCTTGTCAATTGTAGCATATGGACAGCCTTTCACATAATACAGCCAATGACCAACAATCGATTTACCAAGAGGAAAATTTGTAAGATCCCTAGTATCATTTGGCAAAAATCAAGAGTGTTTTAACTTCCATCACCCTTGACCAGCTAATCAAATCAAGCTTCAAGTAAATAAGAATATACTGAAATCAAGGAAGCAAGAAAGAAAAACACGATAAAGACTTCAAATGAAAGGATACAAATAAATACCTTTCCGTGTATAAAGCCGAACAAAAAGCCTCTGACTGTCATCTGGAAGAGAAAGAAATGATTCTGTCAACAAATAACGATAAAATATCATCAGAAACCTGTCAGGAAAAAAAAATATAGAAATCCAGAAGAAATATGGAGACCAACTATTGGAGCTACTACCCATGTAATTTTTCTCATCATCAGTGAAAAGGTGAGTATTGCTTCTCAAAACTTCTTGCAATAACAAACAAAAGTTATGCTGATATTTTATTGTGCTACTTGCATAATTCTTTGCAGATTCAACTACATGAAGAAGATTTTTCCATAAATGTGTGAAATCCTCAATTTCATGACGGTCTCTATCACCATGTGATATGACTTCACAACACACGATTTGGATTGGAACAACATCAAGTGAAAGTTTTGGAACAGAAGTCACATGTCCCTGCAGAAAATCCCAGTGTGACTAGATAACCATGAACATCTGAAAATAAGACTATTATTCATTTCTAATATAATTTGACAAAACTAAAATTCAGTAAGTCTAAATGTAGAATTGAGACAGTTCAGTTCACAATAATAAGCTTGAAATGTCTGACAATTGTTGGCAATTTCATTTTTTTTTTCTTTCAACAACTATGAGTACTGGTTTAAAAAAATCTGTGCATACACTTAGAAATTTATATTTAAGTCCACTGCCTATTAAGTTAATCAGATAAAGTTCTCAACTATAGCATCACATGTGTTACAGATCAAATAGCATTCAATAACGCTTATTTTTTCAGTAAGTATTAGGCTAGAGGTACAAGACTTATAGCAAATAAGATTAGGAAAGAAAGGAAGAAAAAGAAGAAGAAAAGAAACTGATATAGCATACTCGTTCCCACTATCCTGCACAATAGGTGTTTCAGAACAAATATAAACCTCATTTGAACAACATCCTTCAAATGCTGTATGTATTTTGAACACTGTAGGAGGCTTTTGTATGTATTTTACGAAATGCAAGTAAAAAACTAAATGCATTCAAGTTTAGCTAACAAAAACTTCTGCAGCTTCAGAATTACTGTTACCTTGAATGTTAGAGAATACTTCTCAATTAAAGGAGATAAATGTTCAGCTAATTCTCGAGGAAGAAAACCAAGCACTTTAGGGTGTGTGGAATCTGCCAAAAGAACCTGACACAAAAAGACCATGTAACACCACCTAAAATAACTGAAGAATTTGTAAAAAGCAAATAAAAAAGGAAACACACCTTGATAGCATTTGGATCCTTAGGATTATCTGGGTCTCTCAAAAGAGATATCCTTGCCCCGAGATTTAAGTCCTTCTCAACACTAAACCTACGACCAACAATGTAAGTTTCAAGAAGCACTTCTGATATGTCATCTAAAGTTGTGATTGGATCACATGTGGGCACCTCATCTTTCAGGAGCAATGAAGAGGGATCAACTTGACAGCTAATTCTATCTTCATCAATAGGCTTCCCAACTGAACAAGCTAGACCAGCTTTGACAACAATAGGCTCTGTACTTGATGATAATTGACAAGGATTGCTGTCATTTTCTTGAGCAGCAACAGAATTCTTCAGGTCAATTACAGTATTCTGTACAACACTGCTCGTATGTGAGCAGAAGTCCAACTGGAGAAGGGTGCGTTGGGTCAATTTTCGTTTTCGTTTCTTCCCACTCAACAGGCACGCATCTGCTCACCATTAATTTGAACATGTAAGCTGGAATACAAAGAAATCACTACGTATGGCAGATGAAGGGTGTTTGGTTCTTATAATCTAATAAAGCTATCAGCATTCAAACCCCAGAAAAACAAGGCCTTCCTAGTAAAAGTAACATTAGTAGTTTACATATCTCACTTTAGCAAATGAAGCACTAGGGTAATGTCATTCATATAAAGGTTCATTCCATCTAGACAAAGGGGGAATAAATAAGCACTGCATATGTAATATTAGGGTCCATTTGGATAGCTGGTCACTTGAAATAATGTACTTGAAATTTAGCACCAAACTAATTTTTTATGATTTTACACTTGAAACTCAAATTCAAATCCATTTCAAACGACTACTTATCCAAACAGACAGTTAGATAATTAGCAAGCTTGAAGGATCATGACAGGATGCTGCTTTTTATATCCAGTAGACATGAGATGCAAAATTATGTATATATATTTAAAGGTATACCCAAATGAGAATTAATCACGCAGTCTTCACCACGCACTCTACTCCCACAAACAGGGCAAGCTACCCAATCTTTAGTAGACATCTTAAGCAGACTTTTCTCATCTTCCTCCATTTTATTCTCAGAAAATCTCTTCTCATCCTTATCAAAACACAATAATAAACAAAGTTTAGAATTTGTTATTTCGATTACACCTTCTGGTTCTCGAATTGCTGAAACCAATAGAGAATCGGATGAGTTAAGTTACCTGAACGGGAATGTAAAGCAAAGATTGACGATTAGGAAGGAATCGCCTTCTTTTACCAACCAATCGGATCAAGCTTTCACGTCCAGTTAACATTTTCCCCATTTGGAAGAAATTTGTGTCATCGACTAATCTCAGTAGCTGTGAGATCTTACAAAAAGATACAACACACTGTACAGTGATGAGGATTTGAGGATGCAAATGTAGAAGAAACTTCGAAAATTCGCGCCTTTGAACGAGTGCTTTATTTTCTCCTCCGTTAGGACGCGCCGAATGAGGAATGGGCTAGAGAATGGTAAACAGTTTGGATTGGGCTATTGACAATTTCAAACCCAACAAGCCTTTTTTTTATTCATCAGGAAGGTCCGATGCACTGAAAACAAAATTATTGGCACAATAGAGTCTGGATTCACAAATTGGTGAAATCATTTGTAGCTGAAAGAATTCAAAATCCAGACTTCTCACTCCTCACGTAATGCCAATTGATATTTTCCCTTGGTTTTAAAGATAAATTATCAATATTTTAATCACTTTAATGATAATAAAATTGAAATATGCTACATTTGGAGTTAGAAATACCATAGACATTGGTTTGTGTAGAGGGGTGTTCATCAAACCACCCAAACCATCTAAATCGATTTAAACCAACTTAAATTCACAATTTTAAAGATTGATGAATTGGTTAGATATTATAAAATTTAAATGTCGAGATCCTAATTTGGTTACAATTTTAATGTTAAAGTGTCACGACCCGATTCCGTGGGCCGGACCGGCACTAGGGCCTAGGTAAGCTTAAGGCCCCCGAGGCCCGTAGTAAGCCTAAATTATCCAATCTATCTATTCACACACAACCTCTATAGTGTAAGAACAGTTTTTGAGCAAGTGGAAAGCATAGATTCTATTAGACTTCCACTTCATTTTCTATTTATGCAAAGTGCTTCTCATCTCATTTATATACGAAAATATCATCAAATCTAAGATAAATCAGACGTCGAATTTGTATATCTTTCGAGTTGACCAGGCCATTCTCTTGTGCTTGAATCATGCACTGAACATACCCACATAAAAGCACATTCGCGAACATATACACCAATGACCGGGAATGTAAGCGTAAAGAACTAGTCTTTTTAAGGCATAATAATCGAGCACAGGAAGGGATTACAGCCTTCACATTTACCAACCAATCGGAATCAAGAAACTTTCACGATCACTTATCATTTTCCATCATATTTGGTTCAAAGATTTTCAGTGTATGCTGCACTTAATCGCTCAGCTAGCAGTTGAGATCTTAAAATATATAAAATACGAAGACACTTACTGTTACATCTTTTTGATCGACGGTATTGGACGTATGTGCAACAATGTGATGAAGATATCGCACTGATATAAGTTCTCGCCTTCTTGCAAAACTCGTAGCGCTTTTTTCTTCAGCCTCCGCTGTTTTAGGAGCGGCGCCGAATATGAGGATACCGGGCCCCTAGAGAATGTAAATCACTGTAGATTGAGATTGAGGGTGTCAAGTTGTACTAATTTACATTTTTCCAAACATCAAGAGACGCATAGTTTATCTTTATTTGCAATAGTGAAGGTCTCGTGGCACTGAAAAACAAAATTTATGTGAGGCAACAAATAGAGGTCTGGATCCTAGCAAGTCTGAGAATGAATTCGATATGCAACTTGTTATTGCTAGAAAGACATCTCATAAAAATATCTCCCAGACTTTCCTCTAGCCCCCACGGAGTAACATTGTCGAGATATGATCCTGCGCATCCTTTGTTTGAGGGATAGAGCTTGCTCAAATACTTTTGAACTCCAACTTTCAATATGATAGATACAATTGTATATTGTCTGTCGATTCATGTGCTTACGTAGTGAGGAATAACTCATAGGGAGCATAGGTCTTGTTTGTAGAGGAGTGTTCATGCTGCGAATCAGCCAAAACCAACCATATCATAATTTCGAAACCACTTAAACTTCAACATTTTAATACTTCCATAACTTTGGTTAGTTTCTACTACAAATTCAAAATATGTGCGAGTTCTCTAATATTTGGTTGAGCATCATTCTACTATGTATAAAAGCTGTTTCGAACCTTACGAGTTCTATCCGTGGGGTGCGGACCGAACACTTAAGGCTAGCCTAGGTATAAGCTTAAGGATAGTGACACAAAACAAGCACAAGACATTACTTCAGTTCCACGACTTCCTGGTTTTTCCCTAATTGCAGGAGGATACTAGTGTTTCGAGGTCCGATCAGATGCCCTAACTTTAATAGTATTGGCTAAAAGTACTTGAGCACTATAGCACTAATTGTTCACAAGCTCCCCTGCTTGGTGTTAAGTAGCCAGTGAGGATGATGTATTTATGAAGTGCTCCAAGAGGGGAGTTTTTGTGGAGGGTAAGGTAGGATTTTCCTCGGGCTGTTAAATCAAATGGGTTTGCACACCGCGCAGTTTGTAGGTTGGATGTTGCATTAAATGGCTGCATAATGTTGGTGGTTATGGACTCGTTGCATATTTTAGCACCTCATAGAGTGCAATTGAGGTAAAGTCATTAGCAGAGAGATTTTCTCTATTTTTCGCGCGAGCCACAGTAATGAACTAAAGAACATTTGCAGAGTTTTTTCTCTTCAAATCCAATTGCCCCCGAGGCCCGTAGTAAGCCTAAATTATCCAATCTATCTACCTATCTGTCCCAATTTCATCAGAACAGTAAGCCCATATGACTTAAAGATACATGTTGATAAAAATTTTCAAACATCTGACCCAATCTCAAATAATACATAGAATTTAACCAGGGCATGTTCATAATAAATCATAATCATAATATGGACTTACTGATTAATATGGACTTACTGATTCACCTGCAGCTAATTACACAATAATTAATTTATAGCGTGGTACTAACAATAAGACCCAATTTAAATACACAACCCTATAACTGCGGAGTTCAATAATAATCTGATAATAGAGTAATTTATACATCCAAAATTTAATAACAAATTTAATATAACAAGAAATATAAAGTACATTTAAACTCTGCGGAGAAGATTGCAAGAGCTTCAGTCCGAAATCAATTGCTTTCCTAGTACCTGGGGAGGTTTGTGGAGGGTGAGTTTTTTTGCAGCTCATGAATAATTTTAATAAATAATAACACACCACATACAGTCAAGGCAAAATGCACCTAGTATAACCGAAAATGAACTACGACAATCAGTCAATCAATAATGAACATTTACAATCCACTCCACAAAACAATATACCTTTCAAATAACTCACATCACGTGGAAATTAGTCCATGGATCACCGTTAAACCCCCGAATGAGCCCTCCTCTCCAACATGGCTTGCATTCCTCTTCACATGTGCACCAGGGAGCCGGATCTTCCCATACTGGCCGACCGGTCTAATCCTCACTTGTATACCAGCCCTCACTCATTGTTTTTTCCATTTCCTCTAATTCTTTTCCATTACCAACAAGGAGATAAACCGTCGTCTCCGATCAAATCTAGATTCATCAGGCGCGTCAAACAGGAGGCCCACCCTGCGGGCTGCATCATAATCTAGATTATCAAAGGATGCGCCCAATAAAGAGAAACCAACCTGTGGTTTTTCCCAATATCACAAACTAGACACAGACTCATAGCAAGTAGTGCACACGGGGGAGCCGATCTCCCATTTACCGCGGCCAAATTTCATATCATATTCAGGATCCATATCACAATATGCCTATTCTCACAAACCCATGGTGACCCACTTACATGACCATTCAACACAAACAAAACACAGTAATAAGCCACAACAAATAAATCACGCACATTTCATTTCATCATAATAACACAATTCCATCCAAATGCACAATATATAAATTATTAAATTTAGTGAATACGAATCAATAATATATATGCATAATATATATGATAAAATACTTATAATATATTGTAAATATATAAATAAAAATATAAGATTTATAAATAAATGTTATGCAAATGCAGTGTTGATATGCATTATTTACTATTACTCACTGTGATGGAGAGCGAAATTCTAGCTTTGATGTTGTCCTGGAGGCGCACTAGATGGACCCAGGCGATCTAAGCAAAGTAAGAATGATACAAAAAGAAATAACTCTATCCGACTAAATATTCCTTTACCCTTCTAATATTTTTATTTTATATTCTAAATTTTTCTACGTAATTTAATCTTGATATTTAATTTCTTTTCTGTAATAAATTTTTTTATTTTCTATCTACTTATTTCATTTATTTTCTTGCTGAAATCTATTTTATTATTTTATTTTTCTACCGAAATTTATTTTTATTTTCTACTGAAATTTATTTTATTTTCTACCGAAATTTCGGCAACATCTCCCCTAAAAATTGAACTATTTACCTGTTAAAATATCAACAATATATTAATAATTCCAAACCACACGGCCCATCCATCGGGCAATCAATCAATTCAATTTTTCTCATCCTCCATCCGAATAACAATATCAACACTACATTCAACCTTAACATCACCCCCTACATCCATAATTTATAAATTAAAATTACATACAATATAATCTACCTTCAATCTACACTTAAATTCCATAAATTTTATTATTACCAAAATTTCCTAATAAAATTATTTAATACTGAATTTAATTTAAGCTAACTATTATTTTTATTAAATCATAATACTGTCATAAATCAATAACTATTTTGAATTCATTTTAAACTAACTAAATAACTAAAATTACTAACTAAATATTTTATTTATCAATAAATTAATACTATTTAAATTAACTTAATTACTCAAGTAATTAAACTAATCAGTAATACTGAATTTAATTTTAACTAACTATTATTTTTATTAATCAAGTAATTAAACTAATCAGTAGATCTAGCCAAATTAAATTAATTTAACTAATCAAAATTGATAAATTAAATTAATTACTCAAGATTACTAAAACCAAATATGTAAATATATAAAAATGTAATGTTATGCAAATGCAGTGTTGACATGCATTATTTATTATTACTCACTGTGATGGAGAGCGAAATTCTAGCTTTCATGTTGTCCTGGAGGAGCACTAGATGGACCCGGGCGATCCCAAATATATTTTTTGTCGAATTTTTGCTAGATCGGAAATTTTCTCGTGTCGGATCGGAGAGCAGTGGCTATTGGTGGTCGGAGGCGTGCTGGAGCGGCGGCTAGGCGGTGGCGATGGCGCGACGAGCTGCGTGCGGTGGCTCTCGGTGGTCGATCGCCTCTGCTGGAGAGCGGCTGGAAGGTTCCTGGGCTAGTCGATGCACTAAGCGCAGGTGCAGGAAAAAGAAAGAAAGGAAAATAGAAGAAAATGTATATATAGGAAAAGAAAGAAGGAAGAGAAGAAGAAGAAGGGAAGAGAGAAGAG